AACGCATGAAGGTCAACTACAAAAACGGTCAATAATAGAGGCCTAGTCCTTCAGACTTGGATCTCTAATTCTGCAATTATTACTAATCCAGACGTTTCATTGACATACACAAGGCTTGAATCATCAGTTTTCTCATTGTCACTGTGACTTCAGTAGGAGACACTGTGATTCCATCTGACCTAAGTGAATGTCACTGAAATTCACTGCAGCCCCTCCAAGAACCCGTAAAGTCACTATGACTCCCTAGAATCCCAGTGAAAGTCAGTGACTCCCTGGAAACCTAGAAAAAATCACTGTGACTTCCTGGAACCCGAGTTAAAATCACTGTGACTCACTTGTTTTAAAGTTAAAAAGAGTGTCATTTACTTGATTTTTACATAACTATGTTTTTTGTCATAATGCAAGAAAACAAAAAATGACGTAAAAATATTGTTGTACAAAATGAAGTGCACTTTAACAGGACATCAAATCTCAACATACATCTCAATATCTCATCAATATCAATCATATTTTTTCAATTATTTTTTCCATTGAGAAGCAGTTTTCATTAAAATTCAAGAAAATACTTATGAGCAAAACTATTAATATATGATATTTATTGGTCCTAGCAGATAATGTGTAAGAGATAATGCATAGAGAATACTGTGCAGCGACATTTATCGAAAAATTGGAAAATAAAAAATAAACGAACATTACCTTCCTCTTTGCTCTTTGAGTGCAGAAACAAAACATTCTTTATAAAATTGTTCTGAGCATGATGAATGAGCCTGTATAAATAAAACCAATAACATAGTTAACCTAAACATGTCTTGCCCTGTAAAAAAGAGTTTCATTAGTACCACCACCCGTAACACTAATTCTACCCTCCAGCACTTTCAATATGCCCCTCGTAAGGACACTTAAGTTATCTAGAGGGTGCATATACAATTAAATTGAGGGGCTTGGGATGAGGTTAGAGTTAGGAATAGGGGAGCGGGTACAAAAAGAACTATTTCCACCCCGTATATGTTGTGAATAACTGCATATATATTTGTCTTACTTTAAATTTAAACCTTGAATTGCTATTATTCTGCTGCCGATTATGTTGAATGTAACTTTCAAAACAGTGTATAAGTTAGTAAACAGAAAGACCTTCAATAACAAAGAGAATAGAGTGCAGGTCATGTTTATCTACAGTAGCTTGGACATGAACCATTAAAGGGTGGAGGTTGTAAACAATGTATTGTACACGCGTTGTATACGTTGCCACGTGTCCCATATTGAACCAGGCAAAACATGACGACCACCGCTCTTTTTTAAGGGGGGTAAACAGAAAGACCTTCAATAACAAAGAGAATAGACAGGGTTCTCCCTAGGGCTTTTTAGCGTCGAGGTCCGCGGCGCTATACCTGTGAATCTTGGCGCTTTACTTGGGACCTCGGTGCTATGTGTTCCGACCTCGGCGCTTGATTTCATATTTGACATCCCAATATCAGATATGCAAAAGGTTTGTACGCCACACTGGTCGGCCCGACCGTCACTCAAAATTAGTGACCACAACGGAAATGCTTCCGACCAGGACTATTGTTCGATTGTTATTATGTAC